GGAGAGATGCAGATGAAAACAACACTGAGATTCCACCTCACCCCACAAAGAATGACTGCTATCAAGAAATCACACAATAACAAATGTTGGTGGGGTTGTGGGGAGAAAGGAACCCTTCTCCATTGTTGGTGGGAGTGCAGACTGGTGCAACCACTATGGGAATTCATTTTGTTTTTAAGCGTAATAAATTATCTGAAAGTGCAGAGACATAGCTAAACTGCAACGGAAAAGTTACTAAACAATGAACTTAAAGTCTTCTGATCAATAGAAATGGTCTCTAGTCTTAGAAGACCTATCGAAAACTAACAGTGTAGTGTGTACACACAAAATGAAAATTTTAAGATCTAATATTTAGTGAATTTATAAACTTCCAATCAGATTCTTCTGTTTCCCCAGTCAATATTCTATCTTAATATTATGTGCTGTGTTCCCCATAAAATTGTTTTCCTACAAACTCATGTTAATTCTTAACCCCTAAGCTTTTAGAATGTGATTACATTATAAACTAGATTTTTAAAACAGGTAGTCAAGCAAAAATGCAGTCACTAGGGTGGACTCTAGTCTAATATGACTGACGTTCATGTAAGAAAAGGAAATACGGACATAGACTGCACTGAGAAACATTACTCTAAAGACAGGGACTAGAAGGCAACTATGGCCTAAGAAGAGCGGCCTCAGGAGAAATTGACCTGCTTATGCCTTGACCTCAAACTTCCAACCTCCAGAGCTATGAAAAAATAAATTTCTATTATTTCAACCACTCAGTATCTGGCATTTTAAAAGAGAAGACTGAAAACTAATGTACTTTATAACTTTTCTTTATGTATCCCAATGTGAATGCAGTTATGAAAGTTCTTAGCTATACCTATACAGCCAAATCTCAGCACTGACAAGTAAAATTAAGTATAGATAAGTATAGGTATAGATCGTAGTTTTCAATTAAAGAAACACCTCATTCTCCTTATAGTCTATATTTCAGATCTTGGCCCCAGTATAATGTTGAATATAAAATATTTCAGATATAATCAGAATTATTAGACATGGACAAACATTTAATAATAACGACAGAGGAAGTACGGTGGTGACTTTTAATAATAACTTCAAATATAAAGTGACTTATTGTGACCCAAGAAGATTTTTAAGCAGGATTATCATCAGCATTGTAAAACAAGATGATGATTATGTCAGAGAAAACCCAGCTGGCCAAGAAGATTGATATACAAAGAGCTGAAGCATTGTGTTCTGGTATCGCTGAGGCCAGCCAAAGAGTGGGCATCTAGCATTTTGAAACTGACATTGGAATGTAGCAAAAACTTTCTTATAAATTCTTGAAAATATTTAATAATCAAAATATTTCTGTGCTAAAAGAAAAAGCTGCTGTAGTAAATATCCTTATGTTAAGTAAATGGGAACAAAGAGACAGAAAGTGAATCCAGTTTAGGCTAGGACGATTCCCTCAACTTGCTGAATGTTATCTGTCATTAATTCCAACTAGAGAGAACCACAGTCGGAAGACAAAGTCTATTACATACCCATGATGGGTCAGTCCACATAAATCTGTGTTCTAAACAATACGCAGTTATCACTATAGAGTGTAGGCAATGTTACTTTTATAAGGTTTTTTTTTCATATGTTCTTTAAAAATCCCAAGAACTTCTTTAAGAATTTTCATAAGGTTTTACTGCCTATTATATGTGGACAAGAAAGTATATGGTGTCCCCTTATGTCAAAAACAGGTAAGCAGAATTCATAGAATAACTTCCTGACAGACTTGTCTGAATGTAATGGATGCTAATGACTCTTCTATGTCACGTGCTGGGTGCCACAAAAGTCAATTCCTTCTTCTAAAGCAAGAGTCATGATCAGGCGACTGGACAACACGTCCAAAGTAAAAATTTCACTCTTTCTGTATATCAGTGACTATGCAGAAACACATTCACAGACATACACACCTTTACATCAGAATATGAAGTGTTTCGCAGATCTGGACTTTAAAAGGCAACTACTATGTTCTTTTGCCAATTATACATCCAGTACTACTTATTTAAGTACAACCATCCCCACTCAAACTTATTTAGTCTAACTAATTACTAGACAACATAAAAAAAAGCAAGACAGAAAAAAAGAGTCACGTAATGCCTAGGCCTCTACAAAATGTAGTCACAACTATTTTCAAGCTCATAGAAACATGATCCAACATATTATTATTATTTTTAAAATATTTTTTATTTCAAGATCTTTTGCAAATGGGAAGAGTATCTAAAGATGGGGAGAAAAGAGAAGAAAACAGAAGTAAAAAGAATAAAAATGTATTATGTATATGTACCAACTGCCCACAATGAATATAATCATTATGCACTGTAAATATGTACTAATAGAAATTTAAAAACAACTTTTAAACCATTAAAAATGAATTGCTTTGAAGAAAGTCTACTCTTTCCTCTTTAAAAATGAGGCTGGGTGCAGTAGCACATACCTGTAATTCCAGCTCTTGGGAGGCTAAAACAGGAGGATCACTGTGAATTTGAGCACAGCTTAGGCTGCTTAGTAAGTCAAGAACAGCCTGAGCTACAAAGTGAAATGACAGAAAATGAAAAGGAAAAGAAACAGAAGAAAAATCCCCTTGAATTTGCATTGCCTATTATAGTTTGACTTAATGCACTGGCTCTTTAGAATTTTTTTTTTCAACTTTTTACATCAAGTCTCTAGAGTGAAAAATCCAATCAAGTTTCAGTGGCATAATCGAGTTCCCCAACACTTAGAATTTCACCTTGTTCCCAGATGTGATCTCATTTCAACTAATTCTCTAATTGCACAGGAAAATATCTCATTTGCTGTCAATATATTTGTGTCTGATCATAAACAATCATACCATTTTTAGGCTTCTTGAGAAATTCAGTTTGTAATTTCTTTTTAAACTTCTTACAAATGCAGATGGAAGAAACAAGCTAAACTTCAAAATAAGATTTCAACACTTCTAGAGTGTTTTAAATTTATTTTGAATTTTATTTTTGTAAAAGAAACACAGTGTCATTTTAGGTAAACCTGGGGCAAATGCTTACTTTGGTATAGGGTTTTTGCAGCTGGTCCTTGCATTTATGAAGCAGCTCCATTATCTGTATCTTAAAGTTGATAACTTCCTTGTTCGTGTTTTTATAAGTGTCTGTGCAAATTGAAATAAGATAAGAGTTTTGCCAACAACCTAACGATAGTAATATAATAACAATGACTACCAAATATATTGTATATATTACTTACCAACACTATTCCAAGTATTTACAAATATTAACCCATTTAATCCTCTCAACAGCCATATGTGCAACTCTTATTTTCTTTTTAGAAAACTTAAGTAGTTTGCTCAACTTAACAAAGCCAGTAGGACACAGAATGAGGATCTTCTACATTCTCAAGATGGTCTATCTTCAGCTGCTGTGCACAAAATTGTTCTGTCTTCTGATTGTCCTCACAAGGACCTGCTTTTGTGAACTCATTTCACATAATGTGATATTAATGTTGTTTCTTTGGTATTAAAATGGCATCAGTTGCAGAAAGAGCTATGGTTAGTAAAGACTTTTTACAAAAGCAAAATAAGAATATAGCTAGCAAGTTTTCTTTAATGTGTATTTTTAATCAGGTCCTGTGTTGAGAAACTTTCAAATGCAAAATGTTAAGAGTATGCAAAAAATGATGCAAGTCACATTTTTGTTTCCAAATACCTTGGTGAAAAAATATGAAACAGTTGTTCTATCTGCTGTTTTACTTAACTGTTAGTTAAATATAATTCTAATTCCTTTATGCTTATTAAAGAGAGCAGAATAAAATTATGGAGAAGAAGAGAGAGGAGAAGAACGGGAAGAAGAGAGTGAGAAGGAAAACAAAACATTGCAATTGATATTGTGCAATAATTAAAGTACATCATAATCCCAGCATCATAAACAAACAATGATAATGCAATAATATCTAGGGAATATTTTGGTGACAATCAAAACTATAACAAAAAGACTGTGAGATGATTTTATAATGGCTAAATAATTTGACTATTAAATTTGTTGTTGTTGTGTATTTATAATTAAGACAGTATTTTCCTGTGAATTCTCCAAGTCCTCAGAGACATGATTTCACAGATCAGTGAAGCCTAACTGTGCTGAACTTTGTTGAAACTTAACTTTGGGGAAGCTACCAGGTAAACCTGTACTTCATTTAAATTTTAGTACTTAGGAATTTTAGTACTTAGCTCTGTAGAAATAAATATTAACTCTTCATTGTACCTCTTTGAGCATTTTGACCTGACTAAACCAAGAACCGTTTAAACTACGAACGCTATAGAACTCTTCCATGACCCTGGGGACTCAAACAACTAAATTCGTCTTAAACTTTCGTCGCATTGCTACTCCGGTAACTCTTTGTTTTTACTCAAATGCTTACTGTGATGAGATATGGGATTAGAAGGACCAGAGAACATTGGAGGCTCCTAAGTGAGTACTTTAAAATAAAATATCCTATATCAGGCAAGTTTGTATGTATGTGTCAAAAATCACCTGAGCCTTTTAAAATACATGTACCTCAAGCCTCACTCTTAACATTTTGAATCTGTGAGCATATGCATGGGGGTAAATCTCTGTTTAGAAAGAGCGGCACTATAGTCATTCGTTTTCTTTAGATAGTTATTTCAGCAGAGATAAAGATAAATTCTGCTGTGTACACAGTGGCACTTTAAAATGCATTGAATAACCCAGTGGCTAGCATGTTACAGCACGCAATAAACACTTCTATTATGAATAAATGAGTGAGTTATATATCATTTACCCATTAGAAGCCAATGAGTTTACTGTGAATTTTCCTTCATGCTGCCACATGTTTCATCAAAATCTAGTATTATATCTAGGAAAAGGAATTTTCCTCTCAAAATATTTTGTATATATTCTAGACTTTAAGATATTTTTTAGTTTGTATACACACACACACACACACACACACACACACAAACACCATTTACTCACAAAAGATGAAGCAAAGTGAAAAGATCCAGCGGGGAAGGCACAGGAGGTCCAGGAAACTAAAATGCTGCAGGTTAAACTGTTAGTGTTTAAGAAGCCTTGAGTTATGCATGCATCACCCACTTCATATGGCCAAATGGCAGAGCTGGCCTAATGCTTAGAGCCACAGTGGTGGCTGAAACAACTGTGAAGGAGACAAGCAAACCAAGCCTGAGCAAATTCAGAAAATAATGTTGAAGTTGACAGAATCATGGATCCCAGAGATGGCCACATCCTGGAACCTTATGAATATTTATTACCTGACCTGGCAAAACATGTTTTGAGGATATGTCTAAATTAAGCATTTTGAGATTAGAGGATATCCTAAATTACCCAAGTAACGTGGATAGATGTAATGTAAACACAGGGGTGAGTCCTTACGAGGGTTCTTACGTCACATCAAAGTCAGAATAGATGGGAAGATGGAAGCAAAATTTGGAAAGACGCACTTCAACAGTCACGAACCAAGGCAGCCCAGAGAAATTTGAAAGGGAAAGGAAACAGACTCTCCCGGACCCTCAGGAGGAACACAGCCCTGAGGACACTACATTTTAGTTCCATAAGACTCATCTGGGTTCCTCATCTCTATAACTGTCATATAATAATTTATGCTGTTATAACCTACTAACTTTGTGGTAATTTGTCTCAGTAGCAATAGAAAACCAGTCCACATGCACAAGCTCAGTTTTACAAAGAGGTCTAAAATAGTTCCGTGTACATTTGAGGAAGTACTAGGTTCCCAATTTCCTCTTCAGAGAAGAACTGGTCATGGTGGGGATATATTCATGTCAGTTATATAAAAATAACCCCCTTTTAATTACATATTTTCTCTCTCATTCATGTCATAGTTTATTTTCTTTTTCTGTGTGTGTGTGTGTGTGTGTGTGTGTGTGGTACTGGGAATTGGACTCTGAACCTTGCACTTGTGAAGCAGGTGGCAGAACCACTGAGCTAAATCCCCGGCCCTCATAATTTATTTTCAATTAAGCAAGCGGTAGCATGAGAGTTTGTTTTGTTTTGTTGGTGGTGTTTTGTCCACTATCCATTGCCCACTCTTCATTTTTACCTTCCTATTAGCAAAATCTTCCCCCTGCAGTAACCTTTTTTTGAGGTTGTGACAAATGCACTATACAGTTTAAGGGATGGGCTTGTGGTACCATACTAGTTAATTAGAACATTCTATACCTTTGACTGTAGTCATTGACTGAGAAATAAACACTTTTAACACAAATCAATCCAGTGGAAATCAGGCCCAAATGTACCAACTATAAAATACAGTGCGTATGCCAATAATTAAGGTCCTAAGAAATAAAAGTCATACAGGGAGATGCAGAGGCAATTCATGAGGAAATAAAGACAGAGACCAAGAGAGAAATCTACGTTAAGAAAAACAGACAGAGGGAGACAAAGGCTCTCGTGCCAGTTGGGTTGAAACAAGCTCAGGTTTTTTGTTTTTTTTTTTACTTGTAGCTAAATAATTAAATTTTATTGTTGGAAGAGGCATGTGGTATATGCCTGTAATCCAGCCTCTGGGAGGCTGAGGCAGGAGTTACACAGCAAGTTTGAGGCCAATTTGAGCTGCATACTGAGACCGTATCACAAACAAAACAAAATAAAATTGCTGGTTTAAGCAGGCTTTAAAGCAGGGCATCTAACTTGAACAGCTAGGATTCTGACTCACATAAGTAGTACAAGTATGCTCATATCAAAAGAGTATGAAGTGGGTCCATCTGACTCTGCACAAACTCAAAATATTCTTGGTTTTCATTTTTAATTGGAGAAGTCATGAGAATATTCATAAATTTTCAGAAAAGCAAGAAGACCTATTTACTAATGACAGATTTTTTTTCAGTTTTAATTGAGTTTATTGGTACATTTTAGGGATACAATAGTTACATTCCTTGTTGGGATCTTGTACATCTACATGACAGGTTTTGGTTTTCATTTTTTCCCCTTGTCCCTGCCCTCCCTTCACCCCCTCCTCCCCTTCCCAATGACTGAGATCTTTATAAAAAGAAAAATGTTCCCCAAACTAGAGGTCAAGGCTTACACATTTGGTAACCCCAGAGGAGGAAAACTGACAGCTCTTCTCATTTGTATCCCTAAACTTTATCATACATAGTGTGCTACTGTATAAGCGAAAGAAGGTATTAATGATAATTCCACATAGGCAACAGGCATAAATGATCACCCCAGACAAAAGATCATTCTCCCCAGAGTGTGGCAAGGACACTGCGGTTTTTGTTGCTGTTTTCTTGTTTTTTGTTGTTGTTGTTATGTTTTGCTTTGGTTTTGGTCTTTTCACTTGAAGCCTGAGTTCAAATCTTACTTTGGTCACAGGAGGTTGTGGGCATGTAGACAGTAGGGTTCTACTTACTCTTTTCAAAATAATTGGGCTAAACGGGTCACCATGAGGACCAAAAGCTTTATGAATAAAATGCGAGCATTCATTAACCAGAAAGCTATGTTAACTGGTATTTTTATCAAAAGGATTTTACTTTGGAGAAAAGACAAAGGAAGACACTAAAGAAGTCACACACACTAACACACACACACACACACACACACACACATACACACACCAATGAAAGAAAAAGTGATCCAAGAGAATTCTAACATTAGAGCCAATACCTGTCATCAACTACCTTTCTTGAAGACAGAGGGTAGAGGGAAGCACCTAGAGGTACATAGATGCATTACAGTCCATCCCCTGAGCTTTTGAGTCTTTAGCCTAAGGATATTTTATAAGTATTTTCATCGAAGAAGTTGATCATTGAGGATCTGGCAACCTACCCAACTCCAAAAACTGGAGTCAACTCTCTCTCCCTACTCTGATATATTTTAATTCTATGTGACCATCTAAAAGAATCTCCCTACTCTGATATATTTTAATTCTATGTGACCATCTAAAAGAAACAATGCTCAGTAGACCTCTGCTTTTATTTCCTCTGACTAGACTCATTAGAGACTAGGATACAACCCCCAGCTCTACCATCAGTGAGCTCAGAGATATTAAGGAATTCACTTAAGCTCTTAAACGTTCTTCCCCCAAATGAATCAATGTGTATCAAAGATACATAGCAGAAAATGCTGTGCTGTCCAATTTGAATTCAGCATCTAGTTTTGACACTGGACAGGGTCCTAAAGAGGTTCCTAAACCCCATCCTACCCATGGAATTAAGTTTCAGGTTTGCCGATTCATACTGAAGAAAAACATTTTTTTCAGGACATATCAATAAGGGACATACATGGATGTATTACACAGAAGTTTGTAAAGTATGCACGCAAAGAAATACAAGACATACATGGATGTATTACACAGAAGTTTGTAAAGTATGCACGCAAAGAAATACAGTATGATCTTTCAAGCGGGAGAGGTACATTATGATCCGGAGCTGGGTATATTTATGAGCCTTGTGGATGTCTAAAATGGATGATCCGAGATATGTATTCTGCTGTCAGGTCATCCACCTGTCAGGCTGTGTCAGAATGCAAACCATTTTCACATCTGCCAGTGAGATATGTTGCCCACTAATACGATATCACTGCTTTTTGAAGGTGGAGGTCTATGGGAGGAAGTGTAATTTACAGGTGAAAAACAAAAGCGCAACTTACAGGCTTATTTGTTCTTTAAGACCCTTAGGAACTTTTTAAAGTGAGTTTCCTGAAGGGGAAAAGGCTTAAGTAATTTTTGTGCCATAAAGCTACAGTTTTTCTTAAAAGTACCATTTTAAAATCCCAGTCACTTTTGTTTCCCTTCTTCTATCTTTTTTTCTTCTATCCTACCTCACTTCCTGCCCTGAAACCTTTATTTTTAAGAGATGCAGAAGGTCCTAAAGTCCATCTTTTTATAATTGCTGCAGGCTGAGGAAGGGATGCTGAGCTTGTCTAGCTAGCTAGGGATCAAAAGTCTCACCCTGATTGATTTAAAGGATACAAAGGAAGATGGGTTTTATTGTTTGATGAATGACCATCTTTTATTTTTGACAGGGTCTAACTATGTAGTTCCAACTGGCCTTGAACTCACTATATTATCCAGGCTGGGCTCAAACTCATGGCAATCCTCCTGCCTCAGCCTTCGGAGTGCTAGGATTACATAGGATTACAGGCATGCACCACTATGCCTGGCTGAATGATCATCATTGACAACCCAGTAATTCTTTTCTACACAGGTCACTGGTCATAAGCTTGATTTTATAGCCATGTTAAACAAACAAGGGCGAAAAATTAAAAGTAGAATCTTGTTGAATAGTGAAAGTTGTAGGATTCAGATAAAATTAGATAGCATTTGGTATAAACATTTTATATTTAATATTACCCTCTATTTATTTTGAGATGTTTACCCAAGTACAACAGGAAGAGAGTAAAGATGCACAGACTCTTTCTTGGTTTGTCAATAAGAAATCTAATGTCCTATTTTAATTATAACAATGACAAATGATTAAATAAAGAAGTCTATGTTGTCTTGACCATTGGGCCATAAAAAAATTTACCTTATAATTCAGAACCTGTATCTTGCCTCTATTCCATAGATCTGAAGACTTATTACAGTGACTAGATCCACATAGTATAAACATTTAAAGTTAGTTTATACCATAAAGGTAAAAAAACCTTACTAACTAGAATATTTATGTTGTCATTTTTACTCTAAAGGCACACTTCTTCAAAAAGCTAAATCTTTAACTGAGGGCTACCTGAACATATATTAGAATAACACAATGGAAATATAGTAAGACAGGGTGAAAGACACAGTTTTGGAACAGCTAGTAAGCCTGGAAATTAAAACTTTTTATGACTATAGAGCCCGGGGATTTAGCTATTTCTATTGTCTGCCTCAAAAGCACAAGGATCTGAATTTGATCCCCAGTACAAAAAAAATTTTCTTTAAAGGTTATGAATTATAGGTTCAGCTAGAAACTACCAGCAGGATTGGTAGTTGTCTGCCTCAAAAGCACAAGGATCTGAATTTGATCCCCAGTACAAAAAAAAATTTTCTTTAAAGGTTATGAATTATA